GTTGAATTTAGATATTAAAGATATGAGAGGTCAAGGGTATGATAATGTGGCGAATATGCGCGAAAAACATACGATGCTAATCCCAGGGCATTTTTTGTGCCATGTGCTGCACACATCTTAAATTTAGCAGTAAATGATGCTGCTAAAGTTTCAAATGAAACAGTTAACTTTTTTAATATTGTACAAGAACTTTATGTATTTTTTTCTTCATTCACAAAAAGGTGGGATATAAAAAAGCATGTCCCAAAGTTAAATCTAAAACCCCTAAGTGATACTAGATGATCAAGTAGGATTGATGCTATAAGGCCGCTAAAGTTTCATTTAATTCAAATTTGTGATAGCCTTCTAGAAATAATATTAAGTATCCAATCTTTTAAATTTATTTGCAGTGTAATAATTTAGTATGATGTTTTATTCCAGATTGGCATTGTAAGCAAAATGATGCAAAATGTAACGACTGATATTAAAGTGTGCCAAAACTATTTAAAGAATCTAGTTGATAATTTTAAAAATTATAGAGATGATAATGTTTTCGAGGAAAAACTTGCTCAAGCTGGAGAACTAGCATCCGCTCTTGGCATAGAGCAAGGTTTTCCTCCATTAAATACTGTTAGACGAAAGTATAAACCAAAACTGTTTGATTATGAACAGAGAGATGAGACACCTCAAGATCCAAAAAACAGCTTTTAAAATAAATTTATTTTTAAAAATAATTGATCAAACACTAAGTTCTTTAAATAGTAGATTTAAAATGATATCTGACGACAACGTTTTTGGTTTTTTTAGTGATATTTTTAAATTAAATGACGAGGATCTTTTAAAATGGTGTCGTGCTCTACAGCAAAAGCTAACTGATCAGAAAAAGGAGGAGGCTGACGTAGAAGAAAATGATTTATTTAATGAGATAAAAGCCCTAAGATTGTTTTCATTACCTGAAGCGTCAAATGCCCTCGACATTTAACAATATATATTTGAAAACAATCTAACTTTATCTCTACCAAATATTACCATTTCGTTAAGAATCCTGCTTACTTTACCTGTATCTGTAGCTTCTGGTGAGAGATTCTTCTCAAAATTAAAAATCATTTGAGGTCTACCATGTCACAAGAAAGATTATCGGGTTTGGCAGTCTTAGCTGTAGAGCAAGAGATCCTCGATAAAATTGATTTTGACAATATTATAAAAGAATTTGCAGCGGCCAAATCCAGAAAAAACCTATTTAATTTTTGGATAATAAAATGTTTTATTTGTTTACTGTTTGGTTTGTTTTTCGTTTGTAAGAATAAAATATTGGTTTTTAAAATATCTGCTGTTTCATTACAAAATTAAAATAAAATGTGGTTTCGCAATTCGCTCAAATGTTAAACGACTATTAGAATATTACAGCAAACCAGGAATTTTAAAAAACATATGTAACAACTTAAAGTTGTTATTCTTCAAAATATTATTTATATAAGTACTACATATATTCAAAGGGCGCCAAAATAGTTCCGGCACGCGGGCGGCGATAACCCTTGCGGGGCACCTGAACCAGAGTTATGGAAGACATTCTTAGTCTCACCCCCCTTGATATTAAAATCAAGGAGGTTGCTCTGATGACAATGACTCCGAACAATTGTAACTGAATGTAGATCTGGTGAGGTGAGACGTCACTGTTGACGGGAGTAGATCAATAAGTTCCTACTGCTAGCAAGCTAACATGGACTTTATCTCACCGAGATATATATTCCACGAGCTATATAGTTATAACGAAACAAATAAAAGAGCCGGAAGTGGCAGGTTCGATTCATATCTACACCGACGATTTTAAAACAAAAACAAGGCTCAGGATGTGAAATATACTCCAGATCCTTAGACCTACACATAAAATGAGCTAAAAATAGAATGAGGTATTTTCAAATTTCCAATTAGACCGTCATAGCTATCTACCCACTAAACATGAACAGTACTATTCTCTTTTGTAACGTTTTTCATAGAGACTTTTCTTGATATATTTTTGAAACGGTACTAAAATATCTCATAGATGTTTAAATTTTAACATTATATTCATTAACATTCCCTAAAGGAATACTTGCAATAGCAGTTATATAAACATCTTTTGTACTTCTTTTTAGTTACTTCCTGGGACAAACATTTATACGATGTTAATTTATATAACTCCCAATAATATCACATACAGGTCAGCATAGTAATGTATACAAGTTACACATCTTCAAGATGACTATCTTTAGTCTTAAAATGGCAAGCGTAACAGTCCATCTCGCGTTCATATATGGAGACACCGATGATTGCTTGCTACTTACGTAACCGTTGGTAATGTATTATGAGTAGTCTCTGTTGACTGATATTCAGTATTTCATACAAATTTCGTACTTTTACCTTCGATATTAATTTAGATTGTATTATCATACTTTTTCTATAAAAATTTCTTAGAATTAAAAGTTAGAAGACATTTCTAGTGTATAATTTTCACACAGCTTAGGTAAGCTGAAATAAATAAAATATTTACATCACATAGTTCATATAAAATTTAAAAGATAGGCTGTGCGGCAGGATAATAAATACATACATACAAAGGTAGGAACCGTATCGTATTTGGAACGTCATATTTGTTTCAATAATATGATTTTATTTTATGGGCTTTATAATAACATCTACAAGAAGTAAAAAGTCTTTCTTGAATATAACACGAATTTCACATCTAATTTGTTATAAAGTACGGTAATTTTGGAGATTTGTAGATCTTAATCAATTATAAAGAAAAGCTAAATATAATTTTCCTACAAACGTCCTAGTTTTCATTCTACAGGGTGATAAAGTGAATTTCATAAATACATATTTTTTAAATATCTTCCCTTACAGTAAAGACTTTAACTTAAAAATATGTATATGATAGCTAATCGTTATTATTAGTTAACACACTATTTACATAAATTACTATAACCCATTGACGTAGAATGAAGGGCTATAGAAACAATTTTATTCAAAACTTTTTGAACACCCTACATTTAATAAAACTTAAGATTAATAAATATTTCACACGCCATTTATCACAAAAAGGGACTTCTGGTTGATATTTATAGACTATTCTATTTTCGAGGTGATAGAACTGATTTATTTTATACAGAGTGTTTTGAATCATGTCTTAAATATGGCAAATTTTAAGTTCAATTTACTCAATTTTGTCAAATGCAACACACTTGTATATTATTTTCGCAAAAATTCCTTATAAATTTACCTATCCATCGATACCAATATGTCCCAATAGTGCGTAATTGATCGATAGCTGTTTAATTATTGGAAATAGGAAAAACAAATTAATATAAAAGTTATGTGACCATGTTTAATAAATATTCTTAAATATACAGAATGGTCCATAAACGAGGGGCTGACCAAACTTATACATTTTTATATTTGTTTTCACATCGTCAAACAACTTTAATAGACTTCATTGTTGTATATAGGGCGTTTCAAAATGAGGGGTAACGATTTTCTCATTTTTGTAAATGGAATACCCTATATGTCATACCACCAATTAACTAATACATGGTATTCCATTTAAAAAAATGAGAAAATCGTAACCTCACACTCTATATACAACATAACAAATGAATGAAGTCAATTAAAATTGTTTGAAGATGTAAAAACAATCAAATATGTATGACTACCTACAGGGTGTTTTGCTTTAAAAAAGTATAGATTTGGTCAGCACCTCGTTTATGGACCACCATGTATATTCAAGAATATTTGTTAAATATGGGCATACATTTTTTATATTAAACATTTCTTCGTATTGTTAATAATAAAACAGCTATCGATTAATTATGCACTGATGGAACACCCTGTTTATCTGTTATTGACTAACACATTGATATTGTTAGATGGGCAAATTTATAGGGAATTTTATGCCAAGATAATCTACAGTGTGTTGCGTTTGAAAAAATTGAGTAAATTGAACTTAAAATTATATATATTTTGGACATGTTTCAAAACACTCTGTATAGAATAAACCAGTTGTATCACCTCTATTCGTTAGCTTAGTATTGTATAAGTCTGCATATTAAACAATTTTGAAATAAATGTAAACCTACCTAAATTGGGATAATTTAATTTGGAGCCTGCATCATTCTCTAATTTAAAAAAAAATTGTTTGGTAACACTGTAACATTCTAGGCTAGGGTTAAATATAGTATTCCCAAGCCATTCTAAAAATAAAATAAAATATAGGGGTTCTATTTAAAAAACATAAATTTTTATTTGTCAGGCAAAAACGTATATCCAAAAATATTTTTAAAATATGTATTTTTCAAATCCATATAACTTTTGTTAAAATTTATTTGCTTGTCAATAACACAAATTGAAATATTGAACAATTACGAACTAATGGGACCCTGTATATAAATTTTTATTTTCAATTTGCAGAAATATTATTTTAGATGACAATGTTTGAGAAACTCTTTGTTTTATTGTATTTATTTTGTCTCTCTATTTTTGTTTAATATAACGTTTAAAAAAAATTTATGTTGACTATGGCTTGGGGGGGTAATTACCCCCATTACCCCCCTTATCTACGCCCTTGGGCCCCATGGCCCCCTCGCTAGAGCCGCCATTGAACAAAAGAATGTGAACGGCTTATATTTTTATTTCAATGAGTTGAAGAAAGATATTTGCGGACATATAACAGAGCTTTTCATACAGAAGACCACATATATGTTTTGAATTAACAGAACATAAGTACCTTCGTTTTATAAGAATATAAAATAATACAAAAATCATTTAGAATTTTATTTCATGAAGCAGGCTAATTTATTTTAAATCTATTTTTAAGAATGCGTAGCCAAATTTAAATTATTTTACAACCTTTCAACGGACATAATTATCATTTGACTTCCCTTATGATTTAAAAAAAAACAATAAACAAGAATGACAAAGGGGTACTATTTAATTTTTGCATTTTATAATATAATTATTATTAACAATAATTGGATATAGGTACTTACTTTTTTTAGATAAAATATTTCCTTGTGTGGCAGTAAAAGTGATATTTTCAAATTCTATGTCAACAGTATTTTGAAACGATTCCATCTTTTTATTGCCATTGTAAAAATGTACTTTCTCAGAGTTAACATTAGCATGTACCGATGGACGTACCGATTCAAAACCGCCGCTATATTTTAAATTTTCCCCGACTTTCGAGTTACCTACGTAGGTACTCTCGTGTAATACCGCTTCCATGTTAATTGTTTCGCGATCGACTTCACTTTGATATTTTCCAAGTTTGCGTAACTAGATATTATGGTTAATCGTATACTGAATATTGTTTATCTCGGTTTGGACATTTATACTACGTTGAAAGATTGGACCGCGTTTAAAGTTCACACTCCGTATTGTCATAACCGTGATGAGATTTTTTATTATTTTTGTTTTATTGTTCAGCTATTTGGTAATACCTACCTATAGTTAGGTATGTACCTGCAAAATATTCATCTTAAATTCTAATTTAAAAGCGTAAAAAATAAAAGTAATATTTAAAGTTTATTCTTTATTGGCTTGTTTATTTCTTTAAACCGTAATCTATCTATGTAGGTACTTACTTTGTTGACACAATTTATAATTTTCACTTTCAATTAATTACCTAAATATTTATTTTAATTAAATTATTGTATCAGTTATAAAAATTATTATTAAAATTAAAACTAATTAGGACACATTCAATTAATAAATTAATGCTCAAGTGATCTCGAGAAAAGTAGGGAGAGAATAGGGTAGAAGCGGGTACCTCTTTTATCTATGGTACCTAATTTTTGGTGGCTTCTGGATAATACAATTTGTGACTGAAAGAGATACAAATTTGCATACAAAACGTTTAATTATTCGTGCTTGCATACACAAACTTTAAAATATCATACGTATATAATTCCCTTCAACTTAATTCATTTAAAAATGTGAAATCCCGGTTCTACCCAGCCGGTAGATTAAAACCGGATACATGGAAAAACAATTATTGTTGTTTGAAACCAGGGCTGCCGAGAGCCCAGGACAATTCTCCAGATCGGGCCCCTCGACAATTTTATAAAAAATTCAATAACAAAAGGTCTTCTAGCAAAAATAAATTTCTCCTCCTCTACTTGAATTTCTCTAAAAAAAAAAGGTCCTCATGCAAAAATTTCTCCTCCTCTAGCAAAAATGTCTCCTCCTCTACTTGAATTTCTCTAAAAAAAAAAAAGAACTTCCCCCCTCCTCTTGTCTCGAACTTCTGAAAGTAACAAACACCACCGCTACCGGGCCCCCCTTATACCGCTGCCGGGCCCACATTTGAGCCCGGGCCCCGGGAACTAGTCCCGGCTGTCCCCCTTAAACAGTATGTGGTAAGAAGTTAAAGCAATGAGGGGTAATATTATTTTTGACTGAATTACCATTTATAGAAAAAATGAAAACCCAATACAATTGTGAGTAAGTACGGCCCCGGAGGGCTCGCTTATCTAGTAGACTGATTCAATCGGTGATGGTTGTGATTTATTTTCACAGATTATGGCCGTGTTCATCTTCGTCAAACATGTTGTAATGCTGAGTAAGCGGTGAGGATGAACTGTCAACCCACGGGGGTTTGGTTTATATCATATGCACAATACGTAAACACGTTTATGCGCATGCAACTCCGCGCTTGGGTGCTTGAAGTCCGTTTTACAATAGCAAAATTGTATTAAAATGTAAAGCACATTGAATAATTTAATAACATCTCGTTCAGTAACACACAAAAAGTGTTGTTTCAAAAATTTTAATTCATATATTACAACAAATTAAAAAAAACGCCTTCACTTAGTTATTTTAACTATGTGAAGATGGCTTTCTGTCCGCTGCATGACTGCTGGCTGCCCGCTACAGCGGGCCCCGCGCGCGCTGTCAAACAAATGTGTGGTTATGTTATGGTTTTGGTTGTCGACGAAAACATATGAGTGAAACAACTTTTATTTATTTATTTATTTTAAATATGTTAATTAGGATTATTTAAAATCAAGTAAAGGTATTTTGATGCTTTAACATGTCTTTACCAGGCAGAATTCATTATAAACGCATAATTTCTAATTGTTATAGTACATTTTATAAGGCCCATTTCAAACGTAAATTTTAAGAACAAACTTTTTTAAATTTCCTTCTGATATTGATTAAAGAAAGGAATGGTGTCGAATTTTAAACATTCCACTCATTCCACACATATTTCAAAAAAACAAATAGAAGGTGTGAGATAAAAGAAAAATATGAACAAGGAGATAGAGCCATACATAATATATAAAAAAAATAATATATTTATAGAAACACAAAAACAAAACAAAAACTCACTCAAACACGTCGACCTAGTGTTCGTTAATTTTTAATTTTTTCTTCCTCTACCTAAAATAATCGATAACAGAAAACATGATTTCTTTTTAGTTTTTTGCGATTATTTTTGGATGTACGTTCATCATGCAAAGCGCAGTCAGCCTATTTTCATTCATTATTCGCTCTGTGCGTGACAGCAGCGCCAACTAATTTATGAACTAACGGACGATATTTGCGTATACTGACAATACAATTTTTAATGGAATTAAAAAATATATATATTTATTTTAATAAAAGTATATAGATTTGTAAAACAAGTGAACAAATTAATTATTATATATTTTTATTAGGTACTTCAGCTAAAATAAAAGTAGTATAATCAATAATAAAACATAGGCAGGCTACGGTGGTGTAGGTGTCTACGGCGCGGCATTCATTTGTCAGCCAATTTTCTGGTAAAACGAGACACGGTTTAAGATCATACGGAAGACCATGTGAATTTATTTGCATGGTTCTCTATAGGATTTGATGGATGCCATATTAGCAGAAATTTAATTTCTGTTGATATGACATCCAGATTATTATTAAAATAAAATCACCATGCATTACCGTTTTCGATGATGGTAGGTGGGGTTTTCCGGGTTTTCCTCACCTGTAAGTCAAATGTCACCATTAATTATCTTTAAGTCGTCCCGGAGCGCCACAGCAAATAATAATAATATTTTTCCCCGCACAAGCTCAGCTTTTGGAGTTAAAATTCACTCATAAGGGGATGAATTAGGGAGATAATGATTATTATAAGATTATATATTTACCAGAAAATGTATATGTTGCCTAAGCCTAATAAGTTAACATTGAAGAAAAGGTTAAATAATGTGAAAACAAAAATATTACCATTATATAATAACGTAGTCTCAAAACCTATTAACAAAAATAAGTGGTAAATTTGTGATTGTAATTCATATTTTCTTTATTTTTAGTTCGAAAGAGTCCATAGAAATTAATTAATAAAATTGGTTTCCTATCAATAAGTCACAAGATTGCATTTCAGCCACATACAATAATCAAAGGCAGAAATCTAATCCTTGCTCAACATTTAAGAGTTGAGGGATGTTGAACAACATTGTAAAATAATAATTTATTGTTTATTTAAAACCTTTTAAATTTTCTGATGTCTACTATTTCCAGTATTAGTGTTATTATTACAAAAATAAAGGTTTTTTTTCTTCTTATTGTACAGCTATCCATTTATTTCTTTCATTTAATTTTCCTTTTTGCTACTAAAAATTTATATAATTTACACTGTTTTTCTGCTAGTATTTTTACAATTTACAACACAGCAACTGTTATTGCTTTATCGCCTTGGACAAATTTCGCTTGTGTTTGATTTTGTAGGTTTTATTGTGGTTTTTAGTAGCATTGCTGCATTTAGTTATTGTCAAGTCAATTAGTGTCAAAGTCATAATAAATACATCTTTTAATTTTCTTCTCTCATTTACAAAGAATATTTTATTTCTGTGCTAATTTTACGTAATAATACGTCAATGCGCGTGCGCCCATACTTAATTTAGTACTAAAAATTGGTATCGTTGCAAAAGGAAAAAAATATTTTTAGTTCTAAATTTAGTACTAAATTAATAACTTGATTTAGGGCTAAATTTAAGTACTTAATTTAGTATTATGACATACAGCCATTACGCGTTGTATAGTCGTAAAAGCCAGGGAGGGGCAACTGCCCCCCCAAACGACGCCCATGCTCACAGCAATCATTATACATTATGTGAAAATCATATTTTGATACAAAATCATTTACATTTGCTTTGCCTTGCTTTAGCACCCTCAAAACCAGATAGTAGTACTTAGTAATATTGTTTTCCGCCTACCTCTATCCAAAGTATACATTTCCTGGCCTCATTTCAGGGAGCAAAGTCATACTTTTCCTCCCTAGGGAGGAAAAGTACTTTTACTCCCAAGGGAGGAAAAGTAAAAGTGACGTCATGGTATGTCATAAATGAAATAGCTTATACGGCATTGACGACCTAAACTATATTCTATTATATAAGTATAAATTTTACCGTTTATTTATAGAACACCCTGTATTTTGCAAAATAGTAAAAATCAGTAAATTGTTATTTTAATTTAACGATTTTTACATTAATAATTTGACTTCAATTCATAGATTCATCCGATTTTCGAATTTAGGACAGAAATATTATAGCATGCTATGGTCGATTGACAGAGGTGCGTGAAGTTGCCAACCCCCCCCCCCCCCAATGATATTTTTCAAAAAAAAACTATTGCACCATAATGCACTAGTGATGCACCAATATGCACCACAAATTATTTTTTTTGCACCACTTTCCTTGAGAAACGACAGCCATCTCTTTGTGGGGGGCGCCAAATGAACGCTAGCCCCCCCCCCAGTGAAAATTTCAAGTTTTACTGTAATGCACCAGTTAGTATTTGTCATGCACTCATATGCACCACCAATTAAACTTTTTGCACCCCCTCCCTTTAGTAGTTATAGCTGTTTCATTACCGTGAAGTTGGCCCCCCCAATAATTTTTTCATGAAAAATAATATTGCACCGGTATGCACTCCTGATGCACTCATATGCACCACCAATTTTAGTTTTTGCACCCCCTCCCTTCGGTAGTTATAGCTGTTTCTTTACCGTGAAGTTGGCCCCCCCAATGAGTTTTTCACAAAAAAAAAATTACACCGTTATGCACTCCTGATGCACTCATATGCACCACCAATTCATTTTTTTGCACCTCCTCCCTTTAGTAGTTATAGCTATTTCTCTGCTGTGAAGTTAGCCCCACGCAATATTTTCCCAAAAAAATATTGCATCTGTATGCACTCCTTTTACACTAATATGCACAATCATTAAAACTTTTTTCATCCCCTCTCTTTGGTAGTTATAGCTGTTTCTTTATCGTGAATTTGCCCCCCCCAATGATTTTTTCACAAAAAAAAATATTGCACCGGTATGCTCTCCTGATGCACTCATATGCACCACCAATTAAACTTTT